ATCAGCAGTTTGACTATACCAATACCAATTGCTCTATTCTGATTTTCCCTATTCCAAAATAGGTGGACACTTGTCCGGCAAAAGTTATCAAATTTTGCATTAGACGAGTGCCTACCTACTATTGTATGTATCCCTAGTACATTTTGGTGGTGATGTGGGCCCCAAAAATCCTGAAGTGATCCGAAAACTCGGACGATCGTCCGCCCATTTACTTAAGGAGTCCAACGAAACGTCCGCCATTTGTCTGAGAATCCCTTAAAGCGCACTTTTGCCGGACATTGTGTCCACCTATAAAGGGGGAAGGTTGTCTCCCTCAAAAGATATAGGTGCAGATTTGCCTAAGTCTGAAACTACCTGTATTTGTAGGCACAAGTCGCCATGCTATATAAAGCGTTGAAGACAAATGGAACTCTTGACACGATATAGAACCTGACTGCATGTAAATAGGAAAGTCGACTCATATGTGATATTGGTAAGCAGTCATATGAATGAAGACAAAGCAGCCAGGGTGCAATTGCTGTTTATTTGCATGATGTAGTGACGGATACATAGCTCAAAGCGTGGTTTTGGTGATGAAGTATCCACCCAGAGGAATAGATCATCCTATCTGAGGAATTTTCTCGATTATCCTCTGGCATTTCCTCATCTAATCTTGAATTGGCAAGGTGGCGGACATGACTTCAGAAAAAGTCCAACTATTTGAAGTCATATTAGTCAATCCGTTCCCAAATCGATTTCATTTCATTTCAAATGCATTTTTATTGATTTTTTGAAAAGGGCATGACATGCGCGCACTGTTCGTCACGACAAAACAGCAAATTGACTTTTATCGTGTAAAACAAGACCCAAATCACATAGTTTTATGGTGTAGAAACAATTTGAGGTTTTAAACAAAATTTACAATGTAAGCCTCACTGCTCATCGTCCACCTCCATGGGTGCTTATCCTTTCTTCTTCTGCATCCAGATTGCTTTTGGCTTTTCTTCTTCACCACAGGTACAGTACTGATTCTCGTCTCTCCTACTTCCTGCGCGTTCCATGCTAGTAGTAGTTGGCAGCACCTCTGCCTTAAAAAACTTATTTTCGTGTGTATCCTTTATTCGTATGCACGCAAGGATTTCTCGTGGTTGTGGCAAGCTCACCATTAGTATAGATTCCGCGGAATGGCAGTGCTCGGGTGGTCTAAAAATGTTCTGATAGTTCTTGTGGTATTAGCTAGATACACTCAAAGACGAGTTTTGGTGGGGCGATCCTCCAAACAGTGCGACGCAGAGATAGGAAAAAAGAATTGCATCCACAGCTAGTACTAATAACTTATCAAAAGTAGAATAGAATTTATTAATACAGTATGCTGCTATACAAGAAAAGGCTGGGCTTCATTCCACCACCAAGTGAGTTTCGTTCTACCTAGTAGTAGTATTTCATATAGACGTCTTTGACGCCACCCAAAGACCATCCTCCTTGAATTCATATTGAAATCGGGAGTGATCCCCTAGGCTGTTCACTCAGCCACTTTGTCGCTTTCTTTCTGATGCTATGAGAGGTAATCTTGCGTATCCCATTTGCCGAAGTTCATTCTCGTGGTCTCTGAGGATCTTGCTTAGCCCATCCATGAAACGTTTGTGCTGGGAATTCCCTGGAAACAAGAGCCCATTCATCTCCAAACGCCCGGCCATCAGACCCAAGTAAAGTGCAAGGGCAACTATTGGACATGCTCCTGGTTGTTGTGGATTGGCAAGTAGACGTCTTGGAAGACGTTTCTTCTCTCCCTTCTTGGTATCCTTTTGTGGACTTCATTCGATCTCCAAGTGATCACCATGCCATTGCATCTGGTCAATAAGAATTGTCACTGTGTCGTTGGCCCTGCACATTAAGTCCCATGTGAGGATCATGGAACAGTGGCAAAAAATACTCGTGTCGTCTCCTTTCTCCAGTAGCTATTGACAGCATTTCACTTTTAGCTCGTACGACATTGGTATTTTGCCGACACGACCATATCCACATTTATTTTGACCACCGAAGTCTTTTATGGTAAAGTGGGGCTGCATGTTGTTGCTGCTTGCTGCTTGCTGCTTGCTGCTTGACAACTACTGCTTCGACACGGCTAAAGATTTTGGGTGCAAAATGGTGAAATAGGTGGACGCCACTTCTCAAAATCAGCAGTTTGACTATACCAATACCAATTGCTCTATTCTGATTTTCCCTATTCCAAAATAGGTGGACACTTGTCCGGCAAAAGTTATCAAATTTTGCATTAGACGAGTGCCTACCTACTATTGTATGTATCCCTAGTACATTTTGGTGGTGATGTGGGCCCCAAAAATCCTGAAGTGATCCGAAAATTCGGACGATCGTCCGCCCATTTACTTAAGGAGTCCAACGAAACGTCCGCCATTTGTCTGAGAATCCTCCATCACACATCATACCACTATCGGTACCGGTACACGGACTCGGGGCAAAACCAAAGCACTTTCTCATCGTGTGGTATCGGTGCGATTTCTCAAGTAGTCCCTGCGGTTTCATTACCTACTGGTACTTCATAAACAATTGATACGTCTCTCCAACAATGTCTGAATTACTAAATATTCCTGAGACAACTTTTGAAGTGAACGTGTCGAAAGAAACATTCAAATTCAATTGCGGACATTTTGTGGCCTACAAAGGATTCCGAGAACGATTGCATGGACACAACTACAAGCTTGCAATTCGGCTTTTCGGTAGTCGTCGCATAGGCCAGGATGGCTATGTGCTTGATTTTGGAGATCTGAAAGCAGTCACCAAAAAAGTTTGCAAGAATCTCAACGAATACTTCATTTGCCCTATTTACTCGGATGTTATTACGATCACAGACGATGACGGGGGAAAAAATGTCAACATGACCTGTGAGGATGGTTCCAAGTTCTCGTTCCCAAAGGCTGATTGCGTGATGTTGCCAATTGTACATTCTACCGTGGAGGAAATTGCCATGTATTGTTGGGGGCAGATTTTGCTGGGTTTGGATGCACAATATTTAGTGAAGAGAGGTATACACACGATGGCAGTAACTTGCTCAGAAGCAATTGGACAAGAAGCAATTTTCAGAATGAAAATTCCGGATACGAATGACAAGGATGAAATATTGAAACTTTGCGATGTTCGAACCTACATCATGCAGGGAGAATTGTTGACGAGAAACTAGGACCAGGACTACAAGGTCTCAATTGAATTGAATATGTATTATTTGTCCATTCGTTGAGTATTCACACTACCATCTTACCGTTTGAGGGGGATATTTCACCATCCTGGTGACGGAAAGTAGAGTCTATCCAAGCTAACTTTGTAGATTTGCGCCGAAGCGAGTTAATCTTTTGGTTGTTTTGCTAGTTCTTCCAACATTTCCTTTACCAGCTCGAAAAATGGCGGAACAGTGTCGCACAAGATCCGTTCGTCCGGCGAATGAGCCCCAGTAATGGTTGGTCCAAAACTCAAAGCATCCACGCCTCCTCCCATTTTTTCAATCAATAATCCACATTCCAACCCGGCATGAATTGCCTTGACTCCGGGCTCCCTGCCAGTCCCACGATTGACGAGCTTTCTTCCTAGCGAGAGGAGATTAGATTTCATGTCGGGGTTCCAACCCGGGTAAGACTCCTTCCGTTCGATCGTGGCCCCTCCCAAGAAGGCAATGGCTTCAAGCTTATTGCGAGCCATTTCCAACGCGTCTCCGATAGAGGATCTCGTTGAGCAGAGAATAGTAGCCTGTGAATCGTGGGTAGCCATAACAATGGACGCAATATTGTTGGAAGTTTCAACCAAATCTGGGATGGAGTGAGAAAATTTGAGTGGTCCGTGAGGTAGAGCCAAAAGGATGGACAGCAAAGTGAAAGCGGACTTGGCATCCAATGGTGATATTTCAGAAGTATCATCGATCGTTGCAGTTTTGGCTACCACGCTCAGTTTCGTTTCGAGAATTCCGTATTCGGCCTTGGAAACGAGGTCTCCCAGTTGGGCTGCTGTTTCAATTGCGTTCTTTGCTTCTGGAGTCGACACAGCAAACAGTGCACGGGCTTCTCGTGGAATGGCATTATGTTTGTCTCCGCCAGTGATGAAAACCAGCGAAAGACCTTCTGGAGCAACTTGCAATGCCTTTTGTGCCGCAGAAGCGCAAACCAAAATAGCATTCCCTCGACCCTCGTGAATATTGATGCCAGAATGCCCGCCCAACAAACCGTCGACACGAAGTTCCATATATTCCACATCACCGACCAAAGTTGAGCCACGGGTGAGGGGAACAGTGATTGTCGATTCTCCACCACCGCTACATCCAACATACAGCTCGCCCCATTCTTCCGTATCAAGGTTCAACATTGATTTTCCGGTCAAACCCAGTTCTTGCGCATTCAGTTCCGTTGCTCCAGTCAGTCCTGTTTCTTCGTCAATTGTAAAGAGGGCTTCCAAGGGAGGGAGCGCAGCTGTCTCATCGTCGACAGATGTTTCCAACAAGGCCAAAGTGGCGGCGACTCCAATACCATTGTCAGCTCCCAGTGTTGTGCCTTTGGCCCCAAGCCATTGCTCTTTCTGACTTGTCTGTTCATTGTGAATGGGTGCCAACTGATGAAGAAGGATGGGATCCTTTTCAAAATCATGCGCTGTGTCGCTATTCTTCTCTGTGACCATGTCCACGTGCCCTTGCAAAATGACAGCAGGAGCAGACTTGCCAACACCGCAACCTGGATGAAAGACGACCAAGTTTCCGACGGAGTCTTGTTTCCATTTCAAGTTCCGTTCTTCCGCAAAAGCCTTTATATAATCCAAGATTTGTTCTTCTTGCTTGGATGGACGAGGAATCGAAGAGAGAATGGCAAAATGGGACCATAATGATTTGGGTTCCAACTTGGCAATAGCCTCGAGATTTTCAGGAGGAAGAGCAACGGAAGTCCCAGGAATCATGGTACTTGAAATGTCGACTGTTTGGTGCAATCGTCTATTTCTCATGTTGTCATTGTTTTTCTTGAGTGTTGATAGACTAGCTACAGCGGTAAGAGCTGATGATGAGAAGGAGCGTGACGACGCTACCAAAATGGCAGACGTCAAACTTCTGAAGGAGTTGCTTATTCTCATGATCTTCGAGGCCTCCGTATTAGATGTTGTTCATTGTCTTCTGTGATCTGGATTCAGTCGGTCAGTCGGTCAGTCGGTCAGTCGAACTGATCAGGAGCCGGTGACTTCATTTCATGAAAGAAAACAAAAAGAGAGGTTCCAATCAAAACATTCGCATGGTGACCAAAATGGGATGCTACCGTTTATAGTAAAGCAAAGTACGGTATTTCTAACAAAAACTGATGCCCATGTAGTTTCATGAGACTATTCACACATACAAATACAGCCCCACCGGGAATGTCTACATATTGGACAATTCTCTCCTTGCGTCTTCAATTTTGACATGTCCCTCTTCGAAAACGTCTTGATAAACGGAAAGGGCATCATGGAACTTCTCAGAAGCTTCTCGGTCTCTGGATTGGGCCTTCAAGAGGCGACCCATATATTCATGTGTCTCCCCAACTGCACTAGTACGGCCATTTTCATGTTGAATATCAAGTGCTTGTTTGTGCATTACCATGGCTTCACTATACCGTTCGAGGTCCTTAAAAACGAACGCCATATAGTTTAAGGTATCAGCCACGTCTTGGTGTGCTTCTCCAAGAACTTCCAGCTGAATTAGATGCGCCTTGCGAAACATTTCCAACGCTTTCTCATTCTTGTGTTGATCATGGTACACACCAGCAAGATTAAAGTATGTTTTTGCAGTATCTTGATGATTATCACCCAGGACTTTTTCTTGAATCTTCAGGGCCATTTCGAACTCTACTATTGCTTCCTCATTTTTACCTTGCCTATTATGGGCGCATCCTAAGTTGTTATAAGTATCAGCGACCAGTGGGTCTTCGTCACCGAGCGCTTTCAACTGCCTCGCGAGCACCTTCCCATATTCTTCTATCGCCTTCTTATGCTCTCCTTGATCGTTCCAAACGACGGCCATATTATTGCATGATTCGGTAGTAGATGGATGATCACAACCAAGCTTCTCCATTCGTATGCTAAACGCAATATCGTGCATCTTCAGCGCCTTTTCAAGGTCTCCATTGTCCTTCAAGACATTTCCTAAGCTATTGTAGGTTTCCGCAACATCTGAATGAAAAGTTCCCAGTTTTTCCAATCTAATCGAAAGCTCCTTATTGTGCATTCTGAGCGCATCCTCGAGTTTGCCTTGGCAGTGAAAGATGCAGCCGAAATGAGAAATTGTAGTTGCGAAATCTTCATGACGCTCTCCAAGCTCGCTTTCCTGGATCTCCAGCGCCTTTTCGTGCATCTTTATTGCTTCCTTGTACTTGAATTGTCGTTGTAACACCCTACCGATATTGTTGAAGGTGTGTGCAACAGATGCAGCCATATCATGACTCTGGAAGATCTTCAACGCTTTTTGGTACGCTTCTATTGCTTTTGCATGGTTACCCAGATCCGAATAGGCAGAGGCCATACCAGCATATGTATCGGCTATAACATGACTTTTTTCATCTCCAAGGACCACAACTTGAATTTTCATCGCATTCTTGTACTGTTCCAATGCTTTCTTTGGAAGCTTCTGGTCAGAAAATGCGCTTCCAATATTGTAAACGATCTCTGCTACATCTGCATGTTGGCTACCAAGGACATTTTCCATAAGATGCAGTGCCTTTTTATAGCTTATGATTGCTTCAGCATACCGTCCTTTCATGTGATGCTCTAGAGCTGTCTCCTTGAGTCTTTTATATTCATTCGTTAACTCCTGCTTGTTCGATTTTTCAGTTTGTGGTAAAAGCAAATCTCTTTCGGTGCCATTCGCTTTTTCGCTTTTTCTGGCTTTTGCTGGTGGTCTTGTCCCGCTTCCAAGGACACTAGAGCCTGGAACAGCTGTTGCTTTTCTTTTCCTCTGCTTTGGTTGCTCAGGTTGTTCATCACCGCCCTCTTGTTCTGATTTAATAAGCTCATTGTTGCCAGACTGACCCGAGACCGGCTGTCGCGCTTGCATTGGTCTTGTCCCGCGTCCAAGGACACTAGAGCCTGGAACAGCTCTTGCTTTTCTTTTCCTCTGCTTTGGTTGCTCAGGTTGTTCATCACCGCCCTCTTGTTCTGATTTAATAAGCCCATTGTTGCCAGACTGACCCGAGACCGGCTGTCGCGCTTGCATTGACTCCCGACCCTGAACTCTATGGGCATTGTTAGCAGAGAACACTGGACTTGTATTAATGGACTGTATTTTGTATTGCCCTCCATCGACAACCGATTGAAATCCAAAAATCGTTTTATTGGTTTCCACATTCGTGAGCCACTTTGCTTCTAGAGATTCGAGCATAACTTTGAATTCATAATTGTCTCTGATTTCACACATCATGTCATTGTCCACAATGTGAAGGGTTTTTGATGGATTGGTCGAATGATCATTCATGGTGTGTGTGCTTCTCGAGTGGGGCTGAAATATATACCATGTATTAAAATAACATGTACTGTAACAAACAACTTTCAACTTGGATCTTCTATTGAAAAAGACCCGGTACACACACGTAGAGGAACAGGTAGGTACACGTATTTAATGGATACACGTACCAGGTACACGTACTACCAAATGAAGGCTACCGTGCTATTGCACACGCATGCAATGGTTCGTGTCCGTAAGTGAACGGGATCGGCCTTCGTGGAAGCCTGTCGATGAAACTACGATAACACACTCTTTTTAACAATACGATT